TGATTCCAGGTCTGTTCAACTGCCAAAATATATCTTTCTGTGCTTTCTAGACACTTAGAAAACAAAACTGGAGTCTCTGGTTCTGTAGAGCCTGACCTGGTGCTAGGAGATTAAGAGCAAGCTATCCTTGGTTTTAACTGCTGCAATCACATTATTAGGCTGTGTCTACGTTTCTCTTGTAAACCAGAAGTAAATCTAGGGCTGTTTAGGGATTTTTTCTATGCTCCACCAAGTTCTCCACTCACTGAAATCATTCTCCCAGGAAAGTGACATTCTCAGTAAGAAACTTGATCTTCCAGGTATCAACTGACCTGGAAAGATCTTTCGGCAGTTCGGTCAGGATAACACTAATAACCCAGCCCACAGGAGAATACTATGTACTGAAGCCTGTGAGAATTTGATGAATGTGGATTGCAAAGAAACTGACGTACCCCAAACATTGTTCAACCAGTAAAGGAAGGAATTCCAAGTGACTACAGAGCCACGCGCTGTCAGGTGGGAAGACTCCTCACCAACTTCCTCAAAAAGTTACAGTTCTGTACTTAGCACAACAAAAATGCTGTCAGCATCTTCTCACCCTAGAACTGAAACTACTCAAATATGTAAAAAATATAATCTGTTATGTTCTTCTTTCATATCCAGGTAGGCGACCACAGCAGAGACAAGTACAGTACCATTAAAACATAAAGGAATCTAAATTCCAGTATATATATGTATATAATATATATATAGTATACTGAGCTGGAAAACAACCACACACAGCATTTTGAAGCAGTCAGAAGAACTTAAATTTGACATATAGTTTACAGCTCTGGAAAAAGGAATTTTGTTTTACTGTAATGGGCATTTTTATTTGAAATATAAGTCACACCTAAATATACACTCATAATCATAAGTCACCTCAAAACTCTATGTATTTAGGAGTTACAGTGACGCACCATTAGTTATTCTAAGCTGCTAAAAGACTACTGGAATGCTGAGTCAGCAGCTCAACCAGTACAAGCTCTATGTTTTATAGTTAAGGTGGCTATATGAGCAATATCCTGTACAAAAAACTCCTGTATAAAACTGCCTATAGAACACACCAGTTTCTAAAAATGAGGCTGTGTTGCACAAATAATTATAGACCTATAAGTAAGAAAACTATTTGATGGCTGAAACACTGAGCTTTGAGGAAAGAAAAATCTTTAAAAATCCATCAAAGCCTCACATATCTAACTTCTACCCTCTCAGCATTGATCAGCAGAACACCCTTTTTGATATGAATGGGATTTTTTTAAAACACATTTATTGCTTTACCTATGTCAGCAGTGCTGGCTTGGTAGTCTCCAGAACCCAAAATTTAGAAGTGTCATAACCTTGAGTATCCTTTTTAGCATGAACATACATATTATTTTCTCTAACACGAAGTTACTTCAGGGAAGACAGTTTTTGCTCTATCCCCACCTTATGGCTAGAAAAAGAATTTTCCTATTACAGCATACATATGTCCGTTTGTGATTTTTTTTTTTTTTTTTCATTTTACTTGTATCACTATAGCCAGAGAATTTTTATATTATTGGTATTATGCAACTTTAGATTTCTTTTTTAGCAGTGATGCACTCTTCCAGGCATAAGCACAATGAAACAATAAATATATGATAGCACCTGTGTTGACTTTCTGAATCAAAATAGATGACTTAATGATCAATCATAACTTAAGATTCAACTAGAACAGTGATTATTTGGGCCTCGAACCACAAAAGTATGCAAGCTCATACATTTCTATTGACTCCTCTAGGAGTTATAAAGTTCCACAGACCTAACCTTCACTGACACACAGTTCTTAGTATTCACATCTTTTAAAAATAGTTTTAAGCCAAATAATGGGGTGATTTATACCACTCAGTAAATATCATACTTACATGCCCTACAAATTAAAACGAAAGTATGCATGAATCTAGTTTTAAAGCTTTCACAACCGTATTCTCTCTCTGCTTATCTTGCAAGCAAAAGGATGTGACCATGAGGTAGAATAGTGTATTCCCCTCACACAAAAACTTACTCAGGCTGGCAACCAGCAGATCCTCTTTCATCAGGCATTCCATACATGAGATGAACCAAAAATAGCAGCAGCACCAACCCACAAGGGAAAACTCTCTTCCCTCATAGTCACCTGCTCATCAATAAACATTTTTCTTCTTTTTTGCCTTAAATACTTGTGATACCACTTAGTGGCCCAGAAATTAACATTAGCCACATGAAAATCAAGGCAAGGGCCTCCAGAAGTTCTTTTGCCCAGTTCTTCTATTTTTTCATTTTGACCTTTCCTTCTTTCATTGATGGTCACACTGAAAGGGTGAGGTAGGATATGAAATGGAAGAATACTGTGAAAGCTGCAGAGAAGTGAAAAAATGGGTAATCTCTTAGTCCACCTTCAATTTTTAGGCCTTCTATCTTGCTTTCTTCAGAAAGTCACAACTGTGTTGTCTGAGCACTTCTCCTTTCCAAGATGTCTTGAATCTTACCTTAAAAACCAGAGGAAATTAAATAGGGAATCAACAGTCTCAATCATTTTTGAATACTAAATTTCTCAATGTTTCATGAAAACAGTTGAGTAAAAGAGACATCTTAATGCACCAGCCTGACCTCTTTCCTCAGTAAACCTTGCCTTTTTCCTCCTAGTAGCAGAGAAACAACACAAGAATTCAAATACGGGAACCCAACTTCTTTAGGCCTTCTACCACAGATCTACTTTAAAAAGACATTTTCTAGAACTACATGCTGTGGTGTTCTGTCATTAAATAGAAATTCAATAACAGAAAATAGATTTTTAATATAACCTCCAAGGTTACAGTAATTAGAGGTGTTCATGGGCACTCAGACAACACTGCTGTAAGTAGTTTTGAGTTTAAAAACCCATTAAGGAGTACTAGGTAGAGACTCTACATATACACAAGGAGTATGTAAGAGCTGCCAAATATGAACATAATTAACTTTATTGTAAATATTCAAGAAGATACTAGAAAAACGCAACAGCATTGTATATTTATGAATGCTTAACCACAATACATTAATCCACCACATTAATCTTCAGTAAGCATTTATTTAAAGTTTGAGAGAATCATGAATAGCCTGCCTCAGCTACTACGAAATATTCACAAAGTACTGACAACCTAGTGACAGGACACAGTCTGACTCAAACTTCTCAGGGCTTACAGAAAAAAGTCTCTCTCCTGTTAAATAAATTAAGGCACCTTCTATAACCATGAATACAGGCCAAACCCAATGTATAAAATATTGTTAAAGTACACTGGTGGCTAGTTTTAACCCTTCCTTGCCTCTCTTCTCCAATGGTAGCTGATCATTCATCCACTAGATGGGAATGAGAATATTTCACTAAGCCCAGAACAGACCTTGCTCCTAGGCAGCTCAAAAAACAAAAAGTTAAAATGGACACCAAAACAACTTCCAAAAGAAGGTGCAGCACTCAAAAGAATTGTACAATGAGGAAAGGTATCTAGTTACACAAGACTATAAGGAAATATTTCAGGGAAAAATTAAGAGAAAACTTTTCTAACAAAGGAAAATCTAGCGTTGCAATAAAATTGTTAAAACACAGAGAGCAATTACCAATAAAATTATAAATACCTCAACAGATCTCCCTTATTTCTGAGAATGTATTTCAGATTATTAAATCCCCAAATCCTCTACACATCTATGCTTTTTTTTTGTGGATTCTAAGGGAGGGAGAAAGGAAAATGTGGAATAAGGAATCTAGTCAACCCTACCAGCAGACTGAACTAAACCCTATGAGCTAAATAGGGCAGAAGTCATCTTTCCTTTCTGCATGCTGTAACAGATGACTTTTCACAGACTGTAGAGAATTTTAAAAAGTATGTGATTGTGGTATAAAAGTTGAAGTTCTGGCATTGCTCCAGTTTCCTTAGACTATAAAAATATTTATAAAAAGCAATTCTTATTTATCGAGTTTCTAGAATATAGTCAATAATGTGTTAAAGAAAATTAGACTACTCAACACATAATGTTTTAAATTCTTTAGTTGCAAGAGCAGCTCACTGTGTATATGAAGGATCAGGCACCACACATTCCACAAAACTGTATTATCAGCTCAAATGGTGAGATTCAACTGTATCTTTATTAAAAGATTTATTAAGCAAAGTGTTCCGTAACTGTTTTAAAATATCGGATTAGGAATAGAGTATGATTTTAATTTAAGAAGATATTTTTATAAAATGTACATTTCCAGACTTCTGACAGGTTAGGATGACATTCAGAAGAGGGGAGGAAGTAGCTTGGCACTCATGGCAACTTATTTCACTACTTGTATAGAAGCTAACTTCAAAAACATCAGCTGTGCCAGATCTTTTCTTTTCCATAATGCACATCTGTCCACATCAACCGAACTGGAGACCACCGACTTTATACCACATCAAGCAACAGGACAGCTTAACAGTTCAGAGAGTGACTCAGAAATACAAAAGTCTGTATTTTTTTCTCCAGAACAACAGAAGTTTTAGCCTACTTTTCAGTCATTTAAAAAATAAGACATTCATAAATAGAACCCAAGATATTTAATAGGCTAGTTTCTACAGCAATTCTACAAGGTTGTTTATCTAGTAAATCTGCTCTGAACTTTTAAACCTGCATTTTTATCGCTACTCTGCTTTAAAAGTTTCACATTTCTAATAACAGATGCCAAATTGTACCTTAAGAGTGACTATGGTATAGGCATTCCTCCATTATTACGGAAGAATTAAGACATATTGAAAGTCTTAAATGACAAGGGACACAAATTTTTATATTATGAATGAAGTGTATGAAAGTATGCATTGCAGGAGTCTTTATTTTTTTTTAAAAGAAACAGCAAGATACTCAGAGTCAGCAGACAGACATCAGTAAAACTAAATACTTCCACAAGTGCAAAAGCTGGCTCACAGGATCACACATTAGTAAGAAAACACAGAAAAACGTGCTTTGAAACTCCAGTGGTCTGTTTTCTAGCCTCTGCTTTTCTTTAAAATAACCTGCAAAAAGAAGAAAGTATATTTATCACTGTTTTTTTCACTAAAATTCAGGCAGCAGTAAGAGATCCAAAACACTAGGCTATTCAGACCAGAATCTCATCTAGCTAAACAATCTGTTCCCAAAAGTAGACTCACCAAGGGTAAAACTCTAGGGGAAAGGTTAGAAATAAAGCAAAAGCATACAGAAAAATGCCATATAAGAAACTTTTTTTTAAATAAGAACTTTCATAACCAATAATTCTGTAAAATAAAAGGCTTATTTTTAAAATGAATGCTAAGAAATTGCAATAGTGCTCTCAAGCCCTCAACAGATTCCTTGAAGCTCTTACCCCATTAGGCCTAGAAAAAAGAAAAAAAATAAAATATAAATTATACAGCTACTCTGCTCAACTTTTGTTTGCAATGCCTTATTTCTTTCTATATCAAGAGTGCACAGGCCCTTGGAAGGACATTTCTTGGAGTTTAAGTTGAAAAATGAACTTCAAAGCCCAAGTGGGACCATTTAAGTGTTAACATTATTAAAATTCAGGCAGTTTTTCCTTTCTTCTCATCTTAAAAAAATGGAGCACAAAAATGTTCAAATAATGTTAAGATTGCAGTTATAAAGAAATTACAAATGCATAAGATTCCAACTGTAACATTCACTTGGCTACCCTACACATCCTGTATATATTTCTGTTACTATAGTAACAGAAAGTATCAAACTAAACATTTCACCAGAGAGGAAAAAAAAATCCAGAAGGTAAACAGAAACCGCAGGACCCAAATATTAGATAACACTGAGGGGTTTTTTTTTCCAATTTACCCACTGCTAGCAGGTGGTTGAACAAATAAATTAAGAAGACTTGAGTTCCTTCATGAAACCTACGTAAAGCAGACAACGTCTAGAGAGTGAAAAGAGCTACAGAATACAAGAGGATTTTAGTCATACTTTGACACTAATTCTTTGCAGAGAAGTTTCCCTTCTTTTGTACGTACACAAAACTTGCTGTTCTCTGCAATGCAGAGGATTCCTCCTCCACAGATAGTCATACAGCAGTTTCTGTGACACTGAACTACCCATGTAGCAACCCACAGTTTAACCATCCCTTAGCTCGTCCCTTGCCGAACACAATGGCACACAAAGGATCTGTTTCGAAGCAGCATCCACACGATGCTGCAGGAATCCACTTCAGACATCTTTCAGACTAAGCAGGCAAGAACTGAAGGTGTTAAGATACCTAAATTTCTCTGAACTATTTCTCACTTGTTCCATAGAGCTTCATTTATCTTACTGAAGACAGTACGCTTCCTTGATACAGTATCACCTGAAATAAAGATCCTCCAACTCTGCAATTTGCTTCTGTTCCCTGGGCTTTCAGCCCATGGATCCTTGCTGAAAGACTACTGTGTAGACTTACCCACATATTGAAACTATGAATTTAAATGTGGAATAATCAAGAAAAATAGGACTATATTTAATAGGGCCAGGAGTTAACTTGATGTCTTCGTAACGGTGAATTATGCCAATGATGGACTAAAGAACTTTACGTTTCGGCAGGTTTTGGATTATAAATAAAAACATATCAAAGCTAACACAGAAAACGTCTATATATGCTGTCATGACACATTTTACATTAAACAAAAAAAGAAAACTATTAAAAATGCTTTATTACCTTTGCTGCAGCTATAATGTGCTCAGTTTTTATTATTTGACTTCTGTTCTCAAAAGCATTTGTTCTGGCTTCTTCTGCTAGCCGATGAAGAAACAGTAAGAAGTTCAAATGCACCTTTAAAAGAGGAAAGGGAAAAAAAAATTAAGGAGTGAAACTTTTTAAGCATAGTTTGGTTTTTTTAAAGGTGCATGGTTTGAGACAGAGGATTTGCATATTAGACTGCTTCCAGATTCCTGAAAGGTGTTCTCAGGAAAATAAAATGCCACCCAGTTCAAGTCCTAATAGATTCCTAAGACACTCCTCAGTGTAAGTTTTGTATGAATAGTATAAATTCAGTATATTTCAATGGTAAAAGTGCTCTAGAAATGATCATAAAGAAAACTGATCTAACAGAAATTGAACCCAATTTTTATTAGTATTTTTTAAATAATAAAATGTAAACATAAATATCAGATCATAAGAAGGAGCCTTTTTGCTTACCAGTAAATACAGTGAGAGTTTAGTGACTACAATGGCCAGACTTTTGATGATCACCAAATGAACCACAGACAAGTTCAAGGACTTCTGCCCTTTTCCAGTGCAAAGGAGCATTGACATTAATTTCTCCAAAACAAGAAATTCTCCAATGTCAGGAGGTTCCATCCATTTCCCAGCTCATCACTTACTTTATAATCTTCTACATGGAAAGAACTGGCAGGGCTATATTCCGTTCAATACAGAATGCTGCTCTGTAGTACAGAAGCAGCAAAAATTTCAGCAGGTGTGGAACTGATCCAAGTGGATTAAAAACTGACAGCCAGAAGCACCCCTGTATAATAAGGGACCTATAATACAAGCCTCTAGCATTATACAGGCATGATGTGAACTATTTTAATAGTCCAACCTGAAAATTGGTAATTGCACCTTCCATAAATGAAACTTTCAAACAGTACGAGCTTTGCTATGTAAAGTGTACAAAAATACTTCTTTTAAACAACAGTTCAGAAAAATAGTTGAAATACATGAAAGTTTAATTTTATATGAATTATGTGACATACTTATTTTGCCATACCTGATCTGCAAAGCCTAGAAAGATGTAACAAGGAAAGTTATGAGTTTTTAGGAAACACTTTGCAGCAGATTCACAGCATGAAGAATCTGTTAGAGGACAGGCATTTCAGTGTTCATATGACAAGCAATTTAGTTTTTTTTTTTTTTATCTCCTGACCTAAATGAAGCCAACATGCAATAGCTAAATGTACATATTTGGCACTGTTTGGAAGAATCTAGTACAGAAAAGGCAGAATGTTCCACAACAGAGCACATATGCTAATAAATATTCCAGATTATTCAAGACACTTGAGAAAGGCTGAGGAAAGGCAGAATGACTGAATAGCATGAATGGGACAGTTACTGACAAGTAACTGAGTGATGCCACATTTGTCTAAAGACACTCTTGGCTATTTATCATTGACCCTCTGCACAAAATTTAAAACCAGTTTTGAACTAGTCATGAAAACCACCTTACATATCAGAATTATTATTTCCCATAAAAGAAAGGTTGTAAAGTTTTAAGAACATATGTACAAACTCGGGACACTGCTTGCAGAGCAATTTCCACACACCTGTTTCAACAGAACTCACGAGCAGTAGGGACAAGCTCCCTAATTTTGTTTTGCTGCCATAACTTCAGAACAGTTCTTTAGACTGATACTTTGCCTTCAGTTTACACTCATTCATCATCCTATGTCAATAACAAAAAAAAAAAAAAAAGGGGGGGGGTCATTCAACGCGATACACTCAAGCTTTTTCTGCAATGTAAATACAATCCTTCTATGCCCTTCTAGCTTAAAACAATCAGCTGGGCTCCTGCTCTTCTTCTATAATTTCAAACTAGAATAAAGTTTGAAGCTTTTTCTTCTCAGACCATGGTGGCAAGGAGGGGTGGGCTGCATATCTGAACTTTAGTACCAGAATCTTTAGCTCTTATTTTCAAAAAGGTAAATAATTGAGTTCTCAGAGCATTGGGAAAACACTATTCCCATCTCTCTGCTCAAAGATATTAACACACTACTTCTAAAAAACAGCTTCTTGAAAAGTTTAATGAAATTTGTTACCTACACTCTGCACTGAGAAAGACGTTAACACTTGGGAAATAAATCTGACAAAGCTTCAAATTTTGAAAAGAGATGTCAAATTTTGAAAAGAATCTGTTGAGCAAAGAAGAAACTCCATTCAGGTACTGTCTAAACTCTTGTATCTTTCAAACTTGTTATTATGATCATCTAAGAAGACATTGGTTTATGAAGCAAAAACAATTGCTGAAGGTCAGGAAAAGGAAACCAATCTGATTATGTCATAAGCCAGGTAGGCAGATGTGCTCTGAACTGGCTAAGTACCACAGTAGACTCAAACATAAAGGAAGATAGCCTAGGAACTGAACTAGCCAGTTATCAGATTTCCCTGCAGAAGACAAAAGCTCTCTGCTCAAAATTTCTGTGGTTTCCTCTTAAGACAGCTACCGTGTAAATTTCTGAAGCATGCAATCTAATAATTCTTACAAGGTTTGTAGGGCTTAAGAGACACTAAAAAAACACTCCTAAAACTTGTTACTTGCCTAACTACAGGACTAGTGTTTTATTAAAAAAAATAATTATAACTCCAGCTGTGTTATTTATTCATAGAATTAAAGAGCTAGAGCTGTTAGCCACATGCCTAGTTGAAGAAAGTCACAGCCAGTCACCACTCCAGCCATTCCTGCTTAAAGGTAAAATAAAAATGCTAAACCTCCTAACATTAAAGGGCATTTGACATCACCAGAAGAGATAATCTAAGATTCCACCACATAATTAAAATTCATTATCTCATCCTTTGTGTTGGAATGAGTATTTGCGTAGCCACGTTTTAAGCTAGATCAGATTGTTGTTGCTCATTAGTTTCAGTCAGTTCACTTCACCGATTGCTCCTGCAGCCCACAGAACTCTAGTGGAGGACAACGAAGAGCGAGGAACCAGTGGCCAAGACTTGGAGGCACATCCCACTTACCCCTTTTCAAACAGCTACACTACCTTGGAGCCAAATTAACATGACCATGGAAACACAGAGCAACTTTTTATAATGACTACAAAAAATGTTATTAGTGATTGTGTAAGTCTGCCTAGCTGACTACTGTGTTCCACTGAGTAAAGCTTTGAGTGTGTCTGAGCATGAGGAGCAGGGAGCCAAGTCCTTAAGTCCATAAAAAAACTCCAAAGATAGCAAATGCAGTAGGAAAAGAACATATTTTTATTAGACCAAATAGAAAAATGCGTTCTGTTTACACTGAAATGTAAATCCAGTCATGTAATTACCATATTCATTCATATTACTTTTTTTTTTTTAGTCGTATATTTACATTTAGCTTCATGTATCTGGATATCAACCTTCAAGATGATGCAAGACAACTTTTACACACATATGAAACATGGACTTACAATTCAAGTCAGGGAGCATACTAGTATACAGTGTGTATTAATGCTCAGAGAATCACACACATTTGAAAACAAAAGGGCATGGCAGTTAAGCAAGCGAAGCCTCCTGAATTCCTTCAAAGAATGCTTTTTTATGCACGGATTTTTTTGTTCTCAGTATGGCAGCTACCACAAGCTCTCATGAAGTCAGGTTTACTTACTGTAGTCAAGTAATTTCTTGGTAAGACAAACCCTTCCTTTGCCACAAATACCTTATTGCAGGTCAAATGGAATTCAGCTTTGTTGGCCACAGATTTCTGAAACTTATGTGGCTGTTATCCCTACATCTTTATGGCAGGTATTTTAAAACCATGAACACCATATTCTCATCAGATTACTAATAAAACTTGTCATTCCTTAGTTCCGGACAGAGATTACTTAGGCCTTTGACAAAAATGCGATCATTCAAGATGTCTTAACAATGTAGCAACTCGCTAATCACAATTCAGTTGATTGATAACTGTGTACCCCAATTGCTCAACACAAACAAACATCTGCATGTTACAGCCACATAATCCAAACTCCTGTTTCTCAGTCCATCTACATCAAACTCTTTGAACAGTAGCGTACATGTAGTGTCACAGTGTTTATGCATCAGCCTACCCCTGAATCCCCAAAATCACTGTCAGAAACTTACAACAAAGCAGCCACCAGCTAAGCAAAAAGCTGTAATCACTACTTATTTTATTAGACTGACCAACCGTCTATCTCCCCACAAACTTTGCCTCCGCTCTGCCTGTACGTCACTGCAGAAACACCATTAGTAGCAACTTGACATTCTACTGTATCCTGCAACTCCAAAGTGTCCCAGTGCGCACAATCCATCGGCCCGTATCTTTCAAGCGATAAAGGCTTTAGAGACTAAACGCCCCTGTGTAGGCACACCTGCCCCACAGCCACCGCAACAGCTGCAGC